GGAGTGGTAGCGTTCACCACCCGAACCTGACTGAATTACTACGGGAGAACTACCCTGTTGCTAGGAAATTGTAACTAGTTGCAGCTCGTTGCTGAGTCTTCCAACCCCCAAGGCGATGTGAATAGCTATTAGAAAGGGCCTCGGACATGCAAAATAGGCAAAAAGTGGGACTTATTCTTTATTCGTGCTTGGGTAAAACCTTCCCGTTGAACGTTGATTATCTTGTACAGCAAGGATTGATCGACACCGTGCACATTAGCGCCTTCTTCTGATGTTCGGAAAAGAGATGTGAACCGGGAGATCAATGTTGTTGTGACGCGCAGAAATAGCTGGTATTTTCTAGTTGGTTGATTCGACATGCCGTAGCTTTTCCAGTACTGGTGCGAATGGCGCGTAGGTGGCATCAGTTTCAACGCAGCTTTCGACGCGTGGGCGCGACGCGTCTTCCCTACCCTTATCCTGCCAGAAAGGACAACCTTTCCATAGAGGATTATCGTGAACAGGGTGCGTTTTGGCGTTGAGGAGAAGTTTCGTTAATTATCACCCTCCCCCTCCTACACAACTTCCTCCTCCTGAGGACCACCTTCCACGACTGGCCAATCATCCTAACAAAGTTACCACAAGAGTGCAGTGAGTTGCGAGCAAAAATCAGACCACGAAAGGGATTCGAACTCGAATCTTCTGCTTATTACTTTAGCAAACTTTCCAAAAAAACTACTCCGCGTGACTACCTCAACTACACTTCCGATCAACTATCATAGTAGTTTTGCGGCACAACTGACTGGGGGCGGTGAGGTGGGAGGGGGGCACTTTGCGATGCACGGACCGAGAAACTCAGCAATCAGAAAGGATTTTTTCAAGCCAACTGTTGAAAAGTGTCCCCAGTGTGGCCCTTTTCGTGAGAATCAGGACTTGATGTTTCAACACAAACACTTCATTGGAGCCCGTTGTGTTGTGTGGACAGCTTAACATTGGTAGACTCGAAATCCCTAAGATGGGGTAGGCCTGGCCCTTGCTTCAACTAAAGGTGACGGTGGTTGTGCTTGTGGAGTACTATTTTCTTTCTGACATAATTGTGGTCGTGTCCCTGTCCAATACAGAACAAGATGGCAGTTGACTCAAACTGGATCATCCCACGAGTAACCCATTCTATGCCGTGTTCAAATGCCACGCCTACTCTGTCTCAGGGATAAGGAGTGTACTTAGATGAGCAAAAACGAATCAATAAATATTACAGTGTGGATTACATTACATTTTGTTCTTATCCAGTGAGCCCTGGTACTACGTAAAAATCCAAACTGTCGAAATTACAGGTGAACAATGCGTGTGCTTCCGGTTCTTCTGGACTCTTCTTGTGTAAGCAAATCATCGAAAGCGGTACGTTATCAAGACCGAATGGCAGTTACCTTTTCTGCTTTGAGTCCAGCATTTTTTTTTTTTGATCGTTCCTTCTAAGGTTATTATTTGCATATGATATATTTCTAAAAACGGACGGATAAAAGCTTTGCTCAGGAAATGCTGACGTCGTCCTTGCCTGCGGCTTCGAAAAGATGGCCACAGGGTCGTTGGATACCCAGGCTGGCAACAGTGATGGACGAGCGCTTTCTGTCGATAACCATATTCAGGTTAGTATTCGCCAATTACGGGTTTAAATGCAAGCGCGCTCTCATCAAGTCACATTGGGACAGTTTTCGTTTCCGTGAAACACTCTGTTTTCCTTCGTTCGACGCATTTTTCTGGTTATAGGGTTGGGCTGGGTATAGATTTATTTTAGATCGGAAGTGGGAGTGGCCCCATTGGATGCAGCGGTAGAGAGGTCTCATATTTAGGGATTAATTTTCCTCGCCACAGTAGCGTATTTTGCCTTGCACAGTCCCAACGATGAGCCAAGCGGCAGCCGAAGAAACGTTTTTATTAGCTCTGCCAACAGTCATGATCGCTAGTCGAGCTTGAGCTCGGAAGTTTCACCAGGATCCATAGAAACTGAGTTTGAAGTCGAGTCCTTTCGCCTTCAGTACCAGGCAGATCTCGCCGGGAGCGAATCGGCGTAGATTTTGAAGTTGAAGCGAAATTCATCGAAAACTTCGTAGGAGGAGAGGGCTGAAATGCGTAGTTATAAGCTTCAGCTGAGTTGTCCACGTAAAGTAAAAACCTAAGAAATAGGAATAAGAAATCGTAGAAAAGGTCAGAGCGGAGGCTGTCCCTATTCCAAGCGAGAGGCCAACAATTGATAGGGCTGCGGACGAGAGACTAGACAGGAACGGCGAAAGAGCATGCGAACTACCAAGGCGACAGATACTACAGCTAGCAAAGTGAGCGCAGCATAATGCCCCTGCCTTACAATTTCTGACGTAAAGCATGTGCAAGGTTATCCATTGCGGGCCACTCTACACCGTTCCTGATGAAGAGATTCGATTCTTGTAAGCGATCACAGATTGTGTCTTTAAGGTTATGTCAGATACCTATGGTCTGTTCCCTGCTCCTATCACTGCTCAAATGTTTGCAAATGCTGGTAAAGAAGCACATGGAGAAATACGGTAACTTTTACCACAAGCAAGTCCTAAGGCAAGTCCTAACGACCTTCCAAGATCTACTTGTTTCCAGGAACAAAACGAGAACATTTCGCGAAGATTGCCTGGAAGAACCACCTTCATTCGGTTCATAACCCGTAAGTTTTCCTTATGAAGTTGTCGGAAAGTCTTATTTCGTCTGAACTAATTGGTTCAGGAAATCCCAATTCACAAAGGAGTTCAGCCTTGATCAGGTGATGAATGCGCGAAAGATCT